CACACCCGCTCAAAAAAAAAAAAAAAAATCTGTCTAGCCACATCGCCTTACACGTACGTAATCCATCCAAGTGTACGTATGCATCCCTGTCAAAAACAGGTATACGTATGTATCCGGTTTAATTTGTTCGTCGCGAACTGGCCATCATCTCATCAGATGGATGGATGCAAGGATCATTTCCTGTCGACTTCCACCGATCGATGTCCAAGGTCGTAGATATCTCCTGATAAGAACGCGCCGAATCATGTGGGTATGTATACATTATTAGTATCCCTTCTAAATGAAGACACGTGGATATGTAGTTTAGTTGAAGGAGTTTGCGTGTACGCATTCGGTACGAGGGGGTAAATAAATTAACTAGTACTCCCTCCGTGAACTAATATAAGACTGGCCACAGTGGGGTAACATAACCCGTAAGATGCACTTGAGACTAGCAAATATGATTATGTGGCACACAATTAAAAAAGAGAGAGGGTTAGAGTAACATACGTAGATACCGTATCATATTAAATGTTATCCTATTTTGTATCATGCATAACAATAAATATGGTCATCTATAATATTACTTTATGATATTATGCAATATGAAGGTGGTATCATATACTCTTATATCAGTATCATATGCATGATACTAGTATATAATACTCCCCATTATGAGTAGCCTAAGGGTGTTTAGATCACTACTTTAATGATCTAAATGCTTTTATAAGATCATTTACTGCAGATGGCTCTCCTCTCTCCCCCTCCCGCTCCTCTCTCCCCCCTCCCCTGCCCCGCCTTGGGGCGCCCTGGCCTGCGTCGGCCCCCTGTCCGGCCCCCCTCCCCGTGCCTGGCTCCTCTCCCTCGCCCCGTTCGCCGGCGCCGCGAGCTTCGCTTCCACCACCCCCCCGGCGTCGTTTGGATCTCGTTTTTGGGCTCTCGACTCCGACGAGGATTGCTCGTCGGACGAGGCAGCCCTGTGCTCGCCCTCGCCCCGGTCCTCCCCGTGTTGGCCTCTTCTTCCTTCGCCGCACCTCGTTCTCGCAAGTTTGCTCCTGGGGGCCGGGGCCGGCCGGGGCCGTCCACGTCGGCGGACGCTGGCTGGGTCCGGGTTTCTCGCCGTCGTCGCAAGTCTGGTAAGTTTCCCCTCACCTCGCCCGGATCTGGGATTCTGGGTGCCGCTCCGGGTGTGGTTTGCCCTCCCTCCCCTTCCTCTGTCTCTGGTCCGTCGTCTCCGGCGGCGGCGGCGCCTGGGTGCGCCGTGGGGGCGTTGGCACCTGCCCTAGATCTGGTCTCGCTCCCGTTGGCTAGTGGGCCACGTGGGGGACTGGATGCTGGGCTGTTGGGCCTCCTGATCCTATTCTGTCTATCCAACCCGCTCCCCCCGCTTTGTCGTCAGTGGAGACCCCCCTTCTCACGCGGGCCTTGTGCGGCTACCACTGGCTTGTATCCCTCCCCCCGGCCCAGTGGGTTTGGCTCAGTCCGGCTATTTATGGGTCCCCCGTGGTTCAATCCCCCCCCTGTTAGGGTTTTCATCTTCCGCCGCTGACTTGCGTAGGCACCGTGCTCCCATTCGCCGTCTAGTCTGATTCACTCCTTCCCCTCCCCTTCTCCTCTCCTTCGCGGCGGCTCTAACCATGCACAAGTCCAGGGGTTCGTCTTGTGATGCTGTCTCTGGTAGCAAGCGCCGGCGCGAGGATTCGTCGGGCTCGGGTGTGGATCTGGAGCTCGAGGCCTCCCTGCGCTCCAAGTTGGAGGCAGAGCAGGCGGCTCGTGAGCAGGTGGCTCGCGACCGTGCTGCGTGGGTGCTGGTTTGGAGTGGCTCCAGCGCGCGGAGCGGGAGCGCGTTCCGCCTGGATCCGACCCTAAGGCCCTAGATCTGGGCCGGCGTATCCTCCGGTGCTAGATCCCTGGGTGGTGGCGACGGCTGGTAGGGGGCGCTCTTCCTCGTTCGGTTCCCTGCCTGCCCAGGGTGCGGGCCGTGGGCCTCCTACCCCGGCGCGGCATGCCCCTCACCCTGCTGGCGCTGGCGCTGGGCCTCGTCCGTCCCCGCTGTCCTTCTCGGGTCCGGCCCGGCGTCCTCCTGGCCCTCACCCCGGCGCGTCCTCATCGGGGGTGGGGGATTGCATCCTTCCTCCTCCTCCCCCCTTCTGATGCATCTCCCTAACCCTTCCACCCCAAGCAACCCCTCGACGCTTACCTGCTTTGCCTGTCACCAGCCTGAACATTTCCAATCAAGATGTACCAACCCTCCATTCTGCCTGATTTGCCGTTCAGATGGTCACCTCACTGTCAATTGTCAGAATCGTCAGAAGCCGCCATCCTTCATTCACTTTGGCTCGGGCCTCCCTAGATGTTCATTTTTTGCCTTGGATTGTGATTTGCCTGTTTTGGTGGCGGGCCCCTCCCTTTCCAATGCCGCCATTGTCACAATGCAAGACCAAAGGATATCCTCCCAAACTCTGCTTGAAGGACTCCGTATCTAGGACGTCGAGGGTTAGGATTGGCAAGTGAACCAACTGTCCAACTTTGAGTTTTCCGTAGTCTTCCCCTACAAAGATTGTCTCCGTATGATTGCGTCTTGCACTAGCTTCACCCTCCCCCTTAATCAGCTGGTGGTGTTGGTTAAGCCTGCCTCCTGTGGTGTTAAAGCTGTTGGCCCTCTCTCTCAGGTTTGGGTTCTGGTGGATGATGTGCCAGTGGGGCTTCGCTCTTCTTCCTTTTTGATGGCCATCGATGATCTGATTGGTAAACCAGTGGAAGTGGACGCGGACTCTCTGGATAAGGTTGGTCCTGCTCGTATCAAGATTTGGTGTGTTGACCCAATATGTGTCCGTGGATCAATCGATGTGTTGGGGAACGTTGCAGAAAATTAAAATTTTTCCTACGGTTTCACCAAGATCCATCTATGAGTTCATCTAAGCAACGAGTCAAGGGAGAGAGTTTGCATCTACATACCACTTGTAGATCGCGTGCGGAAGCTTGCAAGGTGATGATGTAGTCGTACTCGACGTGATTCGAATCACTGATGACCAAGTGCTGAACGGACAACACCTCCGCGTTCAACACACGTACGGGACGGGAGACGTCTCCTCCTTCTTGATCCAGCAATGGGAAGGAGAGGTTGAGGAAGACAGCTCCACCGGCAGCACGACGGCGTGGTGATGGTGGAGAGGCAGTACTCCGACAGGGCTTCGCCAAGCACACAACGGAGGAGGAGAGGTGTTGGGGAGGGGAGGGCTGCGCCTTGGAGGGTGGTGCGGCTTCCCTCCCCTCACCCCTCTATTTATAGGGGGAAGGGAGAAGGGGGCCGGCCCCCTAGAACCCATCTAGGGGGGGTGCGGCGGCCTAGGGGAGAGGGGAGAGGGTGGCTTGCCCCCCAAGCCAAGGGGGGCGCCCCCTCTAGGGTTCCCCCCTCAACCCTAGGCGCATGGGCCCAAGGGAGGGGGTGCGGCCAGCCCACCAGGGGCTGGCTCCCTGCCCCACGCAGCCCATGTGGCCCCCCGGGAGGGGTGGCCCCTCCCGGTGGACCCCCGGAACCCTTCCGGTGGCCCCGGTACAATACCGGTATGACCCCGAAATTTCCCGGTGTCCGTTTGACAACTTCCCATATATAAATCTTTACCTCCGGACCTTTCCGGATCTCCTCGTGACGTCCAGGATCCCATCCGAGACTCCGAACAACATTCGGTAGTCACAAACTAGTCTTCCTAATAACCCTAGCGTCACCGAACCTTAAGTGTGTAGACCCTACGGGTTCGGGAGACATGCAGACATGACCGAGACGCTCTCAGTCAATAACCAACAACGGGATCTGGATACCCATGATGGCTCCCACATGCTCCTCGATGTTGTCATCGGATGAACCACGATGTCGAGGATTCGATCAAACCCTGTGTGCAATTCCCTTTGTCAATCGGTACGTTACTTGCCCGAGACTCGATCGTCGGTATCCCAATACCTTGTTCAGTCTCGTTACCGGCAAGTCACTTTACTCCTACCGTAATGCATGATCCCGTGTCCAACACCTTGGTCACATTGAGCTCATTATGATGATGCATTACCGAGTGGGCCCAGAGATACCTCTCCGTCATACGGAGTGACAAATCCCAGTCTCGATCCGTGTCAACCCAACAGCTACTTTCGGAGATGCCTGTAATGCACCTTTATAGTCACCCAGTTACGTTGTGACGTTTGATACACCCAAGGCACTCTTACGGTATCCGGGAGTTACACGATCTCATGGTCGAAGGAAGAGATACTTGACACTGGCAAAGCTCTAGCAAAACGAACTACACGATCTTTTATGCTATGCTTAGGATTGGGTCTTGTCCATCACATCATTCTCCTAATGATGTGATCCCGTTATCAACGACATCCAATGTCCATAGTCAGGAAACCATGACTATCTGTTGATCACAACGAGCTAGTCAACTAGAGGCTCACCAGGGACGTATTGTGGTCTAAGTATTCACACGTGTATTACGATTTCCGGATAATACAGTTATAGCATGAATAAAAGACATTTATCATGAACATTGAAATATAATAATACTTTTATTATTGCCTCTAGGGCATATTTCCAACA